AGGAATAGAAACTTCTATATAGTAGATTTACAGTTTCATGTGCAATCTTCCTGTGTAATGAAGAGTTAGATGCCCTCAAGAAGTGTCTAGGGGCTAAAAGAGATTGAATGGTGCTCAAGAGATAAGTAGGGAGGGTGGGGGTGGGGTGGAAGGGAAGAGAGCACTGAGGTGTGAATCTTAGAGAACCCCTTAGAGATGGGGTGGAGGGAACAAGAGGATTTTTCTCCTGTGGCACCCATTCTGAGGATGAGGGTTCACACCTTTTAAATGTAAAGTGGACATGGCAGGAGATCCCTGGGAGAAGCATATAAAAGGTCAGCATCAGCCCATTTTCAGCATTCCTGCTCAGAGCAGAGATTGCAATTGGAGCTCTGTTCCCCCCTGAGAAGCCTCTAGCAAGGATATCAAGGGTAAGTTTGCTCCTGGGGAGATGCCTTCTCCTTTTACTTCTATGCAAATGGAGAGGTTGTCTGCTCCAGAGACTGAGAAGAGATAGCTGGCTTAGGGGACTTGGAGTCAATAGATGGACTGGGTTTCACTTAGTGCCCCAAGGTACCTGACCAAATTCCTTGCCTGCCTCAACTTTAGTTCCATTCTCTGTCAAAGTAGGGCATTTCCTGCCTTCAATAGCCTCACTCTCTCACAGCTGTTTAGCATCAGCAACCTGGAGCCTGGCAGTGAGCAGGTCAGGAGCTGAGTGGGGTGATGACAGGAGACCCCTGCTAATGAGGTGTGGAGTGTCTGGGCTATTTAGAAAGGGTTTCCACATTAAATCCAAGGGGGAGCTCTGGAGCTGGCCTCCATGAGAAATTTTTAAGGGTGGGGGAAGTGTGAGGAGCCTGTTTGTAGAAAGAAGGTTAGGAGGCAGTAGGTTGGGAGAAGATAAAGATTAGAGACAGTGGGGGTGATAGAATGCACAATCTGCTGGGGAAGGAGGGAAGAGTTGGGATCAAGGATGCCTGCAGAGGGCTTTGTCTTGGCAGGGAGAAGGGTTGGTCTTCAGGAAAGAGACATGGGGAAGACATCTAATTGACTTGAGAGGAAGAAGAAGGGCAGAGGGACCTTGATCCAATGGCTTCAGTGTCATCCAATTTCACAAGGAGGTGCTGGCCTGGAGCTGAGGAAACACAGTACAAGCTCAGAAAGGCTAGGGGGGAGGAATGCACATGGTTAGGCTAGCTGCTATGGGGAGTGAGATGAGGAATCAAATACAGAGTTGCACAGTGACTGGTAAATGTTTATAAGAGAGAAAGCAATTCAATATTAATAATATTGCTTTTCCTTTTCACCCTGATATTTTCCATGTCCTTTGGTTCACAGGTGCCATCATGCGGGTTTCAAGTCATCCAGAGGACGGTGGAAGCCAACTGAATTCTGATGACGAATTCCTTGGGCTTCCTTCGCCAACCTCACCACCTCAGTTTATCGCCGGACATTTGGAAGACTTGGAAGATGCCCTCCTGTGTCCTGACCTTGAACCTGCCTACCAGAATGATGACAGTGAAGACCACAGCAGTGAGGACGGTGATGGTGGCCATTCTGATGACAGCAATGACAAGCATGACAGCAGGCGTGATCACAGTGACAATCACAGCCAGGATGATCATACCAATGATGTCTACAGCAACGGCTATGGTGAGTATTGAGGAGGGGCTGCTGGGAGAGGCTTGAGGAGGGCTCAAAATGTTGGGGGAATTTCTTGACTGGGAGAGTGAATCTTTTAGAAAGGGTTAAAAATGAATGAATTTTACAATTTTGGATGTTAGTCAAAAGGGTTGATAGATTTTCACCCTGTGGTTTTGTTCCCTCATTGAGATCCCTTGAGTGTACCCTCCCCTCACCTGATCCATCCTCCATTTTTTCTCTTTCACAGTCAAACTGCAAGAACAAGGAATGTGCACAGCTTGCTGTCACCTTTGCAATGTGCAAACTAAGTTGGAACTCAGCCACAGAAAAGCTGCAGAGAGAAGAGGAAAAGCTGGAGAAGTGAAAGGGAAGGAGCTAGAAGTGCACCCCGAGTGGGTAGCAAGATGTCAATGGAAAGATCGTGAAGCGTTACTTTCAGACTCCCTTTTCGATGAAGGGGTCACCATGTCAGTAGCAGGTCTCCCAGAGAGCAGTGGAGAGGAAGCAAGTCCTAATGAAGGAGGCCTCATGTCCCCCCGGTTTGTGCCAGGACAATTGGAAGATTTGGAAGATGCCCTTCTGTGTCCCGAGCTCCAACCTGACATGGATATGGATATGGATAAGGAAGAAGAGGGGTTCACTTGGCTGGATGGGTGCAGCTCGAGCTGCGTCCCAGCTGCACTTCCTTGCCTGACTTTTGCCTTTATGAGTTGAGCTGGGGGACCCCTGCTGCTTCTTTGTAATGTCTGGAGGAAGCCCCAGGCAGCCAATGTGCACTCAGATTCTAGAGGCTGCCAGTGACCAGTAGAGACAATGGTGAGGTCACTTTGGACATTGCATGTAGGGCTCTCCTCAGATTCACCCCCTCTTTCTCTCCACCTTTCATTTTTCCCTAGTTGGGAGCTGAATGGAAGAGAAGTCCATCACACTAGGGGAGCCAGCATCATTGCACCTGGCTGCC